GAATAAAGTGTGTTAGCATGAGTTTGTCTATATATGCACAATCTATGAAATACCGTTGATGATATGAGTGTCTGCATAAAAAGTGAACAGCTGGAAGATCCAAGGTGCCATGACATCCTGAGCACTTTTGAACTTGAAATATGCGAGCACTATGCTTACAAAGTAAGTCAAAGAGATGATACAAGAGAGTATTGATCATACCTCGTCTTCAATTCTTCAATCTCTTTCCTACGCTTCTCAGTCTCATGACGATAACTCTCGATTAGCTCGTCATTCTTTATGTTTGCATTTATTGTTAGTCATAAAGAGTGTTAAAGTCCTTTGAGTTACCTGCTTCAGTTCCTTTCGCTCGTATTCAATCTTTTTACCAATATAGTCCTTGATCAAGCCAATACTTGCCACATTTGACCTTGAAAGTGCTTGAACCACTTGAATGGGAGGCAACAAGTCCTTTTCATCTATATGCTTCATCACTGAAAGTAATTCTAAAGGTAAGAGCTGGACATTTAAATTTAAATGATATTTTTTGGTCAACGCTACATACACCAGAAAATAGGCTAATGCTACAGGCACTTCTTCTAAGCACTACATACAAAACTGCCCAGTAGAATATTCTTTATGTAAAATGCGATGCTATCGTAATTTACACGTGAGCTAAGTAGTCTTTGTTGATCAACCTGACAACATAAAATTAGAATAAAAAATAACATTTATTTATCTCTTTTTTTTGTTTTTTTCTTGAAAAGAAACAAAACAAGATAGTGACTTTATAAAGTCATGTTTAGCTTGATGCTACGTATTAAAAAGCTTTGCTGGACGACATCATAGGTAGTGGGTAGAGGTAGCGCCCGTAGAATTAGTCTAAATTCTGGTACATGTAGTGTTTCCTATAATAAATACAAGTCCAATTTACAACCAAAAATACATGGAGCTTACAATGCCAGCTACACAATTAATAAATAAGGATTGGACTTTCTTCCCTTAGCTTAGGTATGCCCACCTCGCGAATTTTTGCATATGGAAGATCGGAAACAATTGATCCACACCATGAACGCAGAGTTGATACTACAATGCACACATATTCGCTTTCATTACGGATGGATTACCACTATTACCGCTCATGAAGACAACGCAACAAAACTAAAAATTGACACAGCTGTTAGCAATCTATTGGTGACCTCAAGTATACAGGTGTATAAACATTCAGTAGCAGAAAATATTGTGGAAATAGTATAAAACACCAGCAATCTCATTGCAGCAGATGATACAAAAATACATGTTAATATATAGAATCGTTAAGATTAGGAGTCAATAACAAATATTGATATAGGAAATTACTTTTATCAATTTAGCAACTTAGATCAAAATGCTGCAGTTGACGAAAGGAAGGCAGAGGATGTGGTATAAGCTCTTCGAGTCACGCTTCTTTATTTGAAGATATATATAATAAACAATAAACAATAAACTACCCCTTTTTCAAACTAAACATTCTATATATACATATTGAAAAGAGTGGACAAGTTAAAGATACATAAAAAATCTTTCATACTATCTGGTCTGGATGGCCACACCTTCTCTCCTCCTTTTGTCAATTGAGATTTTTTTTTTTTTTCTAATAATTGGATTTTCATTGTATTTATACTTGATTCCCTGTGCCACTTTGCGAGTATATGCATTTACTTTATAGATACGACTTGAGCCTCTCTTTTGCATAGCTTGTTTCCCTTGTCGATCACAGTTAAGCTTGAGATTTCTCATTCATAGGGTAAATCTATGAGTAATCATGAGTAGGAGTAAGCATCAAGTAGGGATTGACTGTCTCTGCTGATATTGTATCAGAGTTGGAATGGCAAATATTCGATTCAGAGAAAAACATTTTCCATTTCGTGATCCTAGTAGAAACTTTCCTAAAGGCGATCTCTCAGAAGTTGTATACTTATATGGTAGCTTATGTGCCAGATGATACTATTGATGCCTATAGTTTACTATTTATTGAAAATGGCCCACTAGATGCCGCGTTTTTTTTCCTTTTCTCTCTTTCGCCAACTTCTTTTGCAGTAAGTTTCTTCTTGAATAAAATCGAAGAATAGTCTTCTACAGTAAACCTTGACTATTGCCAACTATGGGGCTTAGAGAGAACTTTGATTATAGAGTATTGTTGTACCAGACCCACAGATGTGGTACGGTTTACAGAAAATGGAGGAATAGATTACACAAATAGCATGTACACACCTTGTGGTTTCCAAACAGCCGTAACTAAGAAAAGCATGAATCAATGATTGTGGTGTAAATAATGTTACTATAAATAAACCCTTGTAACAAAACTTTTGACTATGCATATCTATTTTCTGAATTTGCTCAAGATATCATTGGGTTAGATTTTACATTTGAAAACATATACAACTTACTTTATTTAAAAAAAAAAGAAATGAAAAGAGAGAAAAAAAAAAAAAAAGAAAGGAAAAAGGAAGGGCAATGGATGAATAGAAAAATGAAAGGACTATATACAAATGCTATGTACAACAGCAAGCCATATACCAATTAAGCGAGGGAAGCATTTTCTGTCTTGACGCGTTTGACATTCTTTGGCGTAGCAGCAGGAGAAGGCGGAGTATAGACACGGTTGTCATCATTGAGCAGGGCAGCAATGGATGGGGACTGACGAGCATCTGTTTTTGGTTCTTTGTTTTCAAGGTACCGTATCCATCGATTACGACATTGAATGTTTGTTCTTCCTTCTAGATCTCTTGCACAGGCTTCCCAATTGCTTGGACCATGTTTTTGAACTGCCTTTCTCAACTTGTCGTCCTCTTCTTCTGTCCATCGCATATAGGTTGTTCTCGATTTCTTGGCAGCAGAACTATTGGATTCAGGAGACTTGTTTTCAGGTACTACATAAAAAGAAAATAAGTGCATGAAAATATATATGTATATATTGTTGTTGTTTTATTTATTACTTTTTGCAGATGGAGTGATTAACTGAGGCATGGTTAAGAGCGTAACAGCCGAATCCATCGATCTCTGAGATCTCCTGTCATCTAGTCGAGATCGAACTCGTTTTGTGTTTTGGTCATACGCTGTAGTGCTCGTGTTAGAATCAAACTCTGGATCGCTTAGCATCTGATCAGCGACGATACCGAGACTGTCGAGCGCAGTTAATGGTTGCTGATCGTACAATCGAACTTCACTGCTGCGGGGAGAGAATTGTTGTTGAAGTAGATAGGGAGGGCCCTTCCTTATCTTTTTATATGGTGGATGTGGTTGAGGAGGTTTATTGAACGTACTGGATTTAAGTGAATCGACAACTTCATGCAAGTATTCTAGTTCTGCGTCCCTTGCGGATAGTCTGAGTTCTGCGAGATATAATTTTCTCAACAGGATATTTCTGTCTTTTAATAATGCTTCTTTATCTAATTCCGCGTCTTCAGGAGGTATCTGTATTTTTTCTATTTCGTACAAAATAGAAGCCATCTTTTGTAACTTTTTCTTTAGTGTTTCAATATCTTTTTGCAGTATGTTTGTTTCCATCTTGTACCGATTCCTTTGCTCATTTTCCTATATATAGGTTAGATCGCTTGATCAAAGGATGAAATGAATATATGCTTACATTCATCAAAAAGATATTCTTCATTGTCTTTATCGCATCTTCTTCTCTTGGCTGGTTCTGCCTTGAACTTTTAATCTGTTCAGCTTGAGCCCAAATGATACTCTCAAGGTACTTTTGTCTTTCTATTGATTCGTGTAGCTAGAAAAAGTATGAATAGAATGTATATAAAATGCTATTGTTATACCTTTTGATATAATTCATCATTCTCGCGTTGTCTCCATTCGTTGGTGGTAGGCGGTGTATAATCCCACTAAGAAGAATGTATTAGTTTTGGAAATTATATTTACATCATTTCTTACAGGATACTGAGTTGCTGCAGTGATTGGTAATTGTATATTTTGAATCGTATTACTACTGCTGGTCATGGACGGAGTTGTGATTGCATTTGGATGCAACTGCTGTGGTGATAATAACGGACGTATGACACTTTGCTGTTGTTGCTGTTGTTGCTGTGGATTATCCAACAAGACGAGATCTATCTTCCACTTTGCATTTTCGCCCCAAAGATCAACCTAAATCTGCATAAGTGGGTCTTATCATATTTTATATCACGACAATGATATTTCACCTGTCGTTTTACGGATTCAAATATACTGTCCAAGTGTGCATGGCTATTACTTTGTGGTTGTACAGAAGGTGCACCAGATATCATGTTTTTATTTAAATTCGAGAAAAATTATGGAAAAAGAGAGAGAGGAATAAAAATAAAAAAAAATACAATTAAACAAGGATTTTTTATTAGCAAATAATTGAATGACCGCATTGGGCGCATGATGGCTAAAAAGCGCATCCCCTTCCCAATAAATATTGTGTGAATACTCTATTAGAATACATTAAACAAATGATCTTGGTCTGTTATCAGTTCTTTCTTTCAAGTTTGTACTACAAAATAACAATATTAAATAAATAAATCTTGACGAGAGAACAAAGAGGAGCATAGGGTGGGAATAAAAGATCATTTGCGTAATGTGTACTAAATATACTCTGTAGAATTTGCATATCCATCAGTTTAGATAACCTTGCTTGGTAGGAATTACGTAATGTTTTCAAGGCTGTAAAGTGTTTAAGGATACAATGAGTCATCCTTCCGTGTCATTTACTTAGACTCTAACTGTCAACTCTTGGACTGTCGTTATTATTAATTTGGAATAGAAAAGGTGTATAATTGTCAGGTGAAAAATTTAAAATAAATCAACAAATGATGAATGACATTATTATAGTTAGGAATTCAAGTGATATGAACGACTTAGCTTTATCTCTTCATTGTAGTGTCTATGTGATTGACAATAGTGGGATTTATTCGTTTAAATGATGGGGTTTCATTGTTTTAAATGTCCTTTGAATATAAATGGCAAATCACCCACGCGAGATATTTTAGTGTAATAAAAGAAAATAAAAGAATTCCATTGGGAATAAGAGCGAAAGTAGAAACCAAAGACGCTACTACGAGTTAACTGTCTGAGTAAAGATTGATCAGTAAAAGTTTCAAGAGGCCTGTTATATGTTGAGGGTAGCTCAAGTCAAATATGGAAGTCCATAAAGATGGAAAAAAGATAAAGGGTTCGATATAGAAAACAGAGAGGCATAATATTTGATGCGCGCCGCGAGCATTCGAAGCTGTGGAACGGGATAAGTGCGCCAAGAGATGTACGTTGAACAGGGTTGTAATCTGTCTCTTGCACCTTTCACTCTGTATATGTTTGTAAACGTATCCAACAAAGCACGGCCTCTATTTTTGTGATCTTGCGACTTTGAGATGACGGGATGCGGCTTTCATTTTGGGAAATTCTGTAGAACCAATGATGTCATGGGATGTTTTCAGTGATTGGTGAGTTTATCTCTTGTAATGTCCGTGATGCCAACTTGCACATAACGAAATCCATAACAGACGTGTTGAATATAAGGTTACAATACTTTATAATCTTATAGTAGAACATACATTCTACTTTATATTCCTTTATCGCATCAGATAAGACTAACATTAACAACATTGATATTCCCCTATAAGCCCTCATTCAAGTCTACTTTAGTAATATGTAGCTCTTCTTAATAAAGAATCTATTTTACAAACCATCGGCTTAACTGATCATTCATAACAAAGTTGAATATAGCAGAAGAAAAAAAGAAAACTGACGAAATGTGTTGAAAAATAGAATGAAATTTACACAGAAACGGATTGCAAGTAGTAGTTACACCATTGAAAATACCGAGTATCCGTTCTTTTATATTCGATATCCATAGGCCTTCGATGATCAAGATACTACACATCACTCAAACTTATCTAGAGAGATGTTTGACTGCTGTTTTTTTAAGCACATTGCGTATGTTGTATTTGAAGACGCCATAAAACCAGAAAATTTTGTTAAACAACGGCACTCTCGGGCGAGATTAAATAAAGTTTTTTTGCAAGTGTCGCACACAAGTGCTGTGTTTCCAAAACAGGAATGTCGCTCATGCACAATTTAACTTTATATCCTCATATCGCGATAAGCCTAAAAAGAAGGAGGGAAACAGAATGAACGCGTTAGGAGGAGCCTACTCTGATGGGAAACAATATATTGCAAATAGACACTCCGTTGAGACAGTCTTGTAGATTGAGATACGTGATAGAAAAAACCATTAGTTAATCAAATTGCACTCGTAGCTCTGTCTAACTAATACACTCCATATCAACATACACTTTACTCTCAAAAATGCCCAGTAGAATTTGGCTGTAGAAGTTAAACGTAATGGTGAACTGTTTCTTGGCTACTACTAGAACGATGACATCAAATATAAAAGTAATATTTGAAAGAATAAAGAAGAATGGGATCAAAGTGACGACTGCCTCATGTAATCAAACAACTTGACAGACTTGTTGTTGGAGGGTTCAAAGTTTATGGCCAACATCGATCGTCAGTTTCTTGATCGCTTTTTTCTAGTTTCATTTAAGAAAAAAAAAAAATACCTAATGCGTGTCTTTCTTTACTTCATCTTTAACAAGTGCTGCAAGGTCAGTAGAACCACAAGAAAGGGTGTCACAATGAAGCGTCCTTGTTGTATTCATAGTAAAGATAGTGAGCTATCAAACTTCATTATTGTACAAAAGTCACTAAAGACTCCTTAATACCAAATCTGTAAGCAAACTATTGTTTAAAATGTCATATTTATCTTTTGGCAGGTTTGTATTCTATTATTGCAAAATCATGAAAGTTATCTTTGGTTTGTTACTGTTCGGAAGCCCTATGTACTAAAAAATACTTGTATTTCTCCACACCTGTTTGCGGTCGCGAAATTTTTAAGCGCGCGTTGCTGCGAAAAGCAGTACAAAAGCAGTACCTTAAACTTGCTTTTTCTCTTCTCTTTTCCAATCTTTTTATTTTTATTTTTATTTCTTTGCAGTTATGGAAATTCTCAAATCAGACTTTGAACAAAAGCTACCTTTTATTAAAAAGGCTATTTTAGAAGCTGACTTTATCGCTATTGATTGTGAATTTACTGGTAAATATCACGATTATTAAAGATCGATCTTGTATTCATTTTACAATCAGGCTTGACTCCACCCCACATCAATATAAATAACATGGATGACTTGGCTCAGCGCTATACCAAGATTAGAAGTTCAGTTGAAGAGTTTACGATTGTTCAATATGGCGTGTGCACATTTAAAAGAGACAAGGAAACGGGCGATTTTATTGCCAGACCTTTTAATTTCTACATCTTTGGCAATGATCCTGACAACATGCAGTCCCGACGTGTGTTCTCTGTAGATGCAAGCAGTTTAGCATTTCTTCATTCAAATAATTTTGACTTTAACAAGTGGATTAAGGAAGGCATACCTTTCTATAACTTTACAGAAGAAGGAACCTTTTATGAATCTGCATACGGTACTTTACGAATGAACAACAGAAGATCACGTATTGAAGGTAAATGAATTATAAATTAGATAGAAATAGTCAACTCATGTTCCAATTTAAACCAGAATCCGCCTTGACGCAAAATGGCAAAAGCTTTTTGGAATATAATCGTAAAGCGATAAACAATTGGTTACAAGGGAATACAGAACAACCATTGATTATTCAAGTAAATACGCCGTTCTATAAGAAGCTTATATTCCAGGAAGTGCAAGAAAACTATAACAGCTTCCTTCAAGTTATGAGCAGAGATCTCAAGCATGTAGAAATAGTGCGTCTTAAGGAAGAGCAAAGAAAAGCGAAACTTCAGGTAGATACTATTATATTCAGCGTATGACGATGATGAAGCTAATTAGATGCATAGAAGACATCGGCACTTAACTTCCGTACGATTATTGAAACTATAGGAGATGCTAAATGCCCTGTTGTCGCGCATAATGCTTTATTTGATATACTTCATACAACTGACCAATTTTGGCAGTACCTTCCTGATAATCTTACAAAATGTAAGGAAGTTGTAAATAGCATGTGGGATTATATTGTAGATACAAAATACTTGGCAGAATACCATCCACTACTAAAGGTATGACTATGCACTGATAGTATATATATAAAAGCAAACTAATAACTTTATCACAGGGCTGTTTCAATACATCTGTATTGGGCTCATTATTTAATACTGTACATAGTGAATTAGAAGAAGCAGGCCAAAAGATCGGTAAGATATTGAAAATCATAATGTCATTAACAAACTAATGCAAATACCATATGTAGTGCTGGCACCTGGATTTGATCGTTATATTAAAAGCAATAAGCCAAATGAGCACGAGGCTGCCTATGATGCTTACATGACGGGTGTTATCTATCTTGCATTCATGATGTATATAAATGAACAAGCCGACAAACAAAGTAATAAAGAGAATGGTGAACACACTAACGAACAAAATGGTGAAAAAATCGACAGACAAAATGGTATCGAGAATGGCGAAGAAAACACAGAACAGAATGGTGAAGTAAATGGTGAACAGAATGAAGGAGAAAATAACAATGAGAAGGGTATTACGTTACTTGGCAAGAGAAAGCGTGATCGTCTTGAAAGCGACGATGTTGAAGATACTATTGAAACAAATGAAGAGGGAGAAACAATAGAGAATAGTGAAGACGAAGAAGAAAAAGAAGAAGGCGAGATAGAGTCTACGAAAGTGATTGATGAACCATCAAGAGCACTATTCTTCAACAAATCGGTGATACCTTATTACGGCAGAATATTCCTAATGAGAAGCGATACACCTTATATTAATCTGAAAGGAGAGGAAGAAGTTAATGTAGAAAGTCGTAAAAAGTTAAGAACGGATTAAAACAAAACGCATTTGATAATGCTTGATACCTTTTTTAATGTAATAAATTATGACACATGTTCACTTAAACCTACTAGAATATAATCAGAAAAAAAGGGGATGAGCTATGGTGAACAACATTTATTCCAGATATCTCTGCTTAAAAGAACTTCGATATCAATGACTTCTTTGTGATACTTTTCATACTCTTTTTTTTTTTTTTTGACGCGATTTCGTATGAATGATTCTGTGGTATATTTACTTTATCAGTCCACAAATAAGGCGGCTACCATAAAACATACACATACTTTATTTTGGAGGGATTAAATAGCTATTAATTGATAGTACACCTGGAGAGATGCGTCTGTCATTTATCACCAGAAGACACCATGCCCAATCGTCATTATTTGATCAGACAATGAATGAACTACTTCAAATGTGAGCTCCTATTTTGCTTCTTTTTAAATGGTTGTATGTAATTTGAATGCGGCAAGTGTTTATTTATTTTATATTTTATGCTTTTTTTTATGATTATGCTATATGTTTTTTATGGATGTGTTCTTTTTTTACTGATTGATGTACGGGTATGCTTGATTAGTCTGTCATAATAATAAAAAAAAAAAAAGTACTAATCATTGTTTCTTTCGCGTAGTTTTGCCTAAGGTAGTATGTAATTAATTAGAATATTGCTTTCTGTATCCTAGGAGATGCTTACAGAAAAGAACTCATCGATATCTTCTTTTGTTACTACTTTTCCAGAGTCTTTGAAAGATGCAAAATAGTTTTTTAAATCAGCAGCCAAGTCTTTATAAGCCATTAAGCTCTCAAGCACTTTAACTCTGTCTATGCGTTGAAGTTGTTCCATGCCAATCTCTAGCAAGGATTTTCCAGCATCTTCATCTTCTTCTGGCTCATAGATTTGCTCTTCAGCTAGCAAAAACTCTAAATTGTTTTCTTTGTATTGTTTCAAGCACTATAATTATGTCAATAAGTTAATTACGATCCGCAAAATCAACATTAAGAAACAATTTGCCTCTTCACATCTGCATAAGCCTTCCCTCCAAGTCTCTTGGAGGAATATCTCGACGTTATCATTCTCAGGTAAGCTGCTCAAATCAACTATACAAAAAGTATTTAAATATAAACATTTCTCACTCTATTAAAAATAAGCTTACCATTTGCGCAACCGTTTCCTTTCAAGCGCTTAGTCTGAACAGATGAAGACGTGTCATCAAGTTTTCTCTTTTCTCCAACCTTGACAGACATTTCGTTTGTATCTTCTTGTGATGCTTCTTTTCCTACATTGATGGTTTGCTTTGACTCGGCTTCAGGCAAAGACATATCATCAGCACCTTCCATATTCGTTTGTACTGTACTGGCATCATGTTCAGCAGTTTTTTCCTGTGCCTGTGTACTCTGCTTGCTGCTAGTGATGATTTTATCTGGCAGTACCCACGTTGTGATGGCTTCATTTCCCTTGGACAACCCTATACTAAATCTTTTGTCCTTGCCTTGAATAAGGAAAGGATGTTTTTTGGTACAATGTCGGCAAATGTAACAATCAAAGTCTTCTATAGCTTCGGGGATCTAAACAAAATAAACGCGCAAATAATGTCAGTCGCGATAAACACGAACGCGTTGTAACGCTAAAAAGAACACTTACATTTCCTATGCAACGTTCATGAAACCAATCTTCACATACGATACACTAAATATAACTTTAGTATTACACAAAACACATCCATAGGACACGGGGGCAGACGAGTGGTATACCTGAAACATGGTTCCGTCTTCATTTTCTGGATTATACATCTCATCACATCTATTAGAGTTTTAATATCGACATAGTAACACTTTTTCTCTCTCTCTTCTTTATAAAGAAATACCTGCAATATCTTCCATGAAAGTTGTGATTGTATTTATTTTCAGTGTTTGTCTTAATTATCTTTTTTGCAGGAATCATTAATGCACAAGGGTGATTGTTGAACTTGTCGACGAGTCCACAATCACATCGAAAATGCCGTTTAGGAAATAGTTCATATAGTTCATGATCTGGGTGGCAGGCCATAGAGCAACTATAGCACATAGCAGCTGGTGTGCTATCGTCAGTTTGACATGTCTTGCAGGCATAGAGTGGTTGTCGAATGTAACCTAAAGGAAAAGTGCATTTTTCGAATTTTCCTGGTAACACTTCCTTTGCTTCCTTTTCAAGCTCTTCCTGCCTTTGAATGTAATCAAGAGCAGTAACAGTTGAATCAGTCATGGTGTGAATAAATGCAGAAAGGAAAAAAAAAAATACGATTTAATATCATTTTTCAGCTCTGTAAATGCGGATTGGCCGACGGGGATTTATCCACTTTGCTATAACGTAATAAAGCCAACATCTGCAGCTTTTTCCTCGCTCGTTCTACGCGAACCAAACAGTACCCAACTAAGTTTGTTTGGCTTATCAAATACAGTCCTAAGAGCGTATTCCAAATCAACTTGCGTTCTTCTTGTTCTTTAGGCGACTTTATATCGCCATTATTCCTCTACAGCTTTTCAAACACAGTCTCCAAGAATAGAGTGAGGCGATCTGGACGATTGACAAAGGCAGTATAAACTTTCTTGGAGAAGGTGATGCATAACTTTGGTGATTATGCGCCGCGTTCTTTCACTGTTATTTTGTTTCAGAGCGAAGTGAGATTGCCTCATTGCCTGCAAATGGAATATTGGGTAGTAGTTTCTTTACAGGCATCAATAATTGTTATTTAAATAAAAAAGGAGAGAAATCGTGTTATTTTTAAACGATAAGCTTTTGTAAACAAAGAAAACAAAAAAAAAAGAGAGAACCAAGTTAAACCAAAACGGTGACCTCGTTTCAAAATGGTCAAAGTAAAGAGAGCCTGTACTGAATCAGGATGGAAGGGGAAAAAACGTGTCAGCAAAGATAAATCTCCAAATAGCAAAAAGGGCACAGCATTATAAAGGCGATTGACGTGAATATATCCAATACGAGTGCAATAATAACAAGTACATTGATTACCAGGAGCAACCTTACACTCAGAAACATTATGATCTAATTCATGACAATACTTACAGTATGTAAACGTCTCTTTCCTGCATGCATGAATTTAAAAAAAGGAATCTGAGGCTGACTCTTCAGGCTCAAGCCAAGGTTGGGTTCAGCGAAGTGCTTGGCATAGCCTGATCCCAAAAACAGATCAATAGCGATACAGGTATTTATTCCCACAACCTGAATCCTGCCATGACTACAATGAGTACACTTTAGATCTTCTAGAAGCAGCCATGACAAATGCCGTAAGGAAATTCTCTTAATATTCGATTCCAGGCGACAAGAGAGAGTGGGCCGGATAGCATATAGGTGATCGTCAAAACAAAAGCCTACCTATGCGGCCTCACTTTTAAAGTTGTCGTTATCAAAGTTTCTTTCCAAGTACAGATTGGTATCCGAATAATGTGTAGTCAAGCCAGCAATACCAACAAATGGTTAAAACGCGAATTGATACATTTCATGATCGAATTCTTTTTGGGAAGTGATGTCAAAGAAAAGAAATCCAAGGTGCCTGAGACACCACAGGCTGGGTCGTTGAGGAGTTGGTGTTGAGATCGCTGACTGATAAACCAACTGCCATATGCTAGAATAGCTAGATTTCGACTGAAGAAGGCTGATCATAACAATAGCTGTGTATTATATAATTTGGAGGTATGGTTTAGGCACCAAAAGTTGAGATGGAGCACGTTTATTGAGTAGCTTTGTACTGTTAAAACACAAGAGTCGTGGAGCTTTTTTATAAAGGCTATTAAATGGGCTCTTAAATAACTTTCACTGCAAAAGGATAAAAATAAGTAAAGCATTAACAAGCTATGAGCTTAAACGTACAGTTTCTTTATTAAAGGAAGATTAAGTATAGATATCACTGCATGTCATGATTAACACCACGAATATCGCTTTATTTAAAACCTATTGGATTTTGAAGACACATTTGGTATAATCTTTCCCACTGGGAGTTGAGCATATGTACAACCATTGGAGACATAGGCGTACCATTGAGAGGCAAAGGTGTATGATTTTTTATAACCTTGGCTATACAACCAGCTTGTTCTTTAGTCGGGTTTTCAAGTCCCAAAACTTGGACGAGTGGGCTGATAGATATACTTTCTGCTTCTGTTAAGCCAGGATAGATAGGTGCGGTAAAACCAGTAGCAAAGAAGCTAGCCAAGAGAGCGAGGGTCAAGAGTTTGAATTGCATTTTCTATGTTCTTTTTGAATGTATAAAAAATGGATTAAAGTCAATCCCAGTTCCCTTTTTTATAATGAATTTCGGCGGCGTTAACAAGGTTTATGGTATAGTTTATGATGCAGAAAATGGATTCGAAAAAAGGAGAAAAGTGCATATGGCTGATCCTGGAGGCAAACATCAAGGGATCTGTAGATGGATAAATGTTCTGATAAGAGGCTTAAAGTGCATTTTACTATTGACACCAAAGTAGATCGTGAAGTAAGAAGTCGAAGCAGCCCAATATCGCTTTAGCTTGGGTCTGGCAAATTAAAAGACAATCATGCATACAAATAAAGTGGCACATGGCTCACGGCCACATATTTGACACAATTAGCCTTCTTTTCTTTGTTTCCTTATGACTTTATTATCATATATGAGTTCTTCTCAACTTACTAAAGAACTGTTTGAAACGATTGACTTTAGAATATCAAACGAAGACACCAGAGTGCCGCTTTTTCTCTTTCCTCTTTTTATGTCAGTAGAAGACCTTGGCGATAAAATATAAGGACTGGTTCTCATAAAAGGTGTTGTATCAGAGAAAGAAGAAGAATTACTAGCTAATGAAGTGAATAAGCAAGTATGGTCAGACCTTGGTATAAGGTAAAGTATATACAGTAGGACCTCGATTCTGTCATAACCCTAGGTGGGTAGGTGTAGCACTCCAGAATCGAGATTATCCCAGGACAGGATTCATACTTCGACAAAATACACTTTAATAAATAGACACGTCCCAATTTTTCTCATAAAATGGTATTCCAGGATAGAGTATGACAGAATCGAGGCCCTACTGTATTGTATTATAATAGTCAAACATTAAAGATATATATATACATAGACTGAATCCAGAATTAAAGCGAAGAACACAGAGATGTGGTCATTTATTTAGTTATCGTTATAGGTAACAAACTGAGTCATTAGTAATACTCGAGACACAATCCATGGCTGAATAGAAAGGTTTTGGAAGTATACGGACCATTGCCTGAGTTTATTGAGCTTTCTGTAAGATGTTTCGAGCAATTCAATTAGACATAAAGCGAAAAGAGGATCAGATGCCTAGTACCATTAAGATTGTAAGCAAAAAATTAAAGAAGAAGCTGACAACCAACGGGAAACATAGCGCTGATTTGAATGTCCAGAGGCAAAGTGTCAATCATTTTATGTCGACATAAACTTGGACGTTTCCCTTATGTGTTACGGTAAGACAAGGGATATGCAGGGATGATGTGTTAGCTGTAGCACATGCGCCATATTGGAACATGAGGCATTTCTTTTACAGCGACTGGTGCTTTTCTCTTTTTTTTTTTTTTTTTCAAGAAATAGCTCAAGGAATAACATAAGCAAGAGTCATGCATTTAAACAGTGTTGTGAGCGGATACTTATAAGTGTATATATCCAGTTAACTGAATCCAGCTAAGGCTGCATTTCTCATATACTTCTTTATGATCTGTTTTATTTACATACTTTGGTGCCAATAGTAAAATGCACTTTAAGCCTCTTATCAGAACATTTATCCATCTACAGATCCCTTGATGTTTGCCTCCAGGATCAGCCATATGCACTTTTCTCCTTTTTTCGAATCCATTTTCTGCATCATAAACTATACCATAAACCTTGTTAACGCCGCCGAAATTCATTATAAAAAAGGGAACTGGGATTGACTTTAATCCATTTTTTATACATTCAAAAAGAACATAGAAAATGCAATTCAAACTCTTGACCCTCGCTCTCTTGGCTAGCTTCTTTGCTACTGGTTTTACCGCACCTATCTATCCTGGCTTAACAGAAGCAGAAAGTATATCTATCAGCCCACTCGTCCAAGTTTTGGGACTTGAAAACCCGACTAAAGAACAAGCTGGTTGTATAGCCAAGGTTATAAAAAATCATACACCTTTGCCTCTCAATGGTACGCCTAT